GGTGCTGAGAGCACTGTATAGGGGATGGGCATGTTTGTAGCTCTGGCTTGGGCATTGCAAAGGCATTATATGTAACCAAAATGTTTGAAACCCCATAATATTCTGAAATTTAAAAAAAAAAGAAAAGAAATAAATAAATTGAAAAAAAGGAAAAGGAAACAATCAAAGGGTCACGTAGTATTAAGGAGTGATCAAAAGGTGATTGGATTAACACACAACTTTCCAGTTTACAAGTCATAAGAGGTGATGGATATATTTTTATTTCAAGTTAGAAGGAGGCTGTGTGTGAGTTTGCTTGTTTGTGTGCGTGTGTGTGTGATGCCATAATTATGGGTCTATCTCTAGTAATTAGAAAGTTGCATGTGGTAAAGAGCAAGTAAATTGGTTTAATTGGCGTAAGTGGATTAAGTTGGAAGAAGAAAACAAGTTGAATTTGATGTGATTTTGATGGCAGAAGACATCAAAGTCGTTGGGTACACTTAATAGTTTCTTCTATTTTAAAATTTTGCAACTTCTTGGTTTTTCAACATTAAATATACAGTTTACATATTTACATATGTTTCAGGCTACATTATTGGAATTTTGAAGTCATGAAAACATCAGATGAACCAACCTGCAACACTTTGGATTCAGATTGGAAGATAAAGAGAAAGTTTAAAGAATGTGGCCTATAAAGGCGGGTAGTACCTGGAAATATTAACCGACTCACACTGTAAAAATGAGAGGTTTCTAAATAATAGAAGTTGTTTTAGTCCAACATCAAGGTTCAAGACAAAATGTTGAACTAAAAACTTTACACTCCTCCCTCCCCCACTTCAGACAGGTACCAGCATTGGTGAATCATGATTTTCCTTAGTCGGAAGCACTCATTTTTACCCATGTAGACCATCGTTAGGAATTAAATATTGGTTATTTAATGTAGATTATAATGGGAAACTGATTTTTTCCACAATGGCAGATTTCAAGGACTTGGTTCCAAACTGAGCCGAAGCTTCCCCATGCATTTTGTACAGTCTGGGAAAAACTGTGCTGCACTGGCCCATTTTTGAAGGCCATCATGCTCTGTAATATAAGGATGTCATCTTATTGCTGATATCTTTGGAGAGTCCCAAGCAGACACAGAAAATGAATGGAGGCAAGGAGTGTGACGGAGGGGACAAGGAAGGAGGCCTTCCAGCTATACAAGTTCCTGTGGGTTGGCAGCGTCGCGTGGATCAAAATGGAGTGCTTTATGTCAGGTGAGCCCTTATTATTACATTTGTGACCTCCAAAGTTGCAGTCCCAAGATTAAGGAGGTAGAGACTGTTCCTCTTTAAGGAAACAAAATATTGTGACTCACAGCATCTCAAATAAATTTGAATAAATGACTTTTGTGCTAGAAAAATATGCATTTTTGTTCTGTACTGTTTTGCAATGTAAATTGCCTTAGATTACCAGAAAGAATTTGTATGCATTATTTGTGTTTACATAAGGTGTCATTCTGCTTATCTCTGTAACAAGGATAAAGAAAAACAGGAAGATTTCTAAAAGAAACATACAAGCATCATTACAACATTCACAGTAGAATGTAAAATACTAGAAATAGACCCGATATCACTTGACAGTATTACTCTGTCCTTCAGAGTGCTTCCCCTGGCTTTTTTGATAATAACATTGAGTGTTTCTATCTATAGGAAGTTTCAGTTATTGGACTTCTTAATGCCTGATAGTAACTAAAAATAAATTTCTCATTTTTTTCTGCACAGTTTTTAGTCTATTTCCTTGCAGGTAATAGTAAAAATGAAAAAGTCATGATGGAGATGGCTCTTCATCTTAAAAATAAAAATCACACAAATAAAATGTCTACTCTTTTAAATTTTGATTACATATATCTCTTGTAGAATAAGTTGAACAGAGTATCTGAATTGTTGACAAGGATTTTTAATCTTATTTCTTAAATAATTGGCATCTAAGTTCCTTACTTTATAGCTTTTCAATAAGTATCTGAAAGGTTGGGATATCATAAATTTTTCGTGTGATGTAATAAAAAACTGTTAGAAATAGACTCAAACTTTTAAAAAGATATCACATTGCATCATTAAATTGATGTTATTACTTTCAGTGTGATTATTTGTATCCCAGCTTCAACAGAATTCTCCAGTTCTGCAAAGATGTTATTTATAGAAATGAGGTATTTTGGGTTATATAAACACAAACGATTTCATGCCGCAACTCAGAAAGTCAGTTCAGAGTCTATTCTGAGTTTGTTTGTTTTGTGTAAGGCATTTCCTAAGGCAAACTTAATTACCAATTGAAATTCTTTTGTCACATAAATTTTATTTCTGTGATATTAAAGATGTGCTCTATATTAATTGGAGTGAAGGGATAAGAAAGCAGGGAATGTAGATCTCATCCCATGGTAGATAAGATGGGCAAGGGCACATGGGATCACTTTTTCAATGTGTTCCCATTGCCAGTGCCATTAACAAAGCGCCAGAAATACCTTGCTATAAATGTAATATAGTAAAGTATCAGTGTTACATGTTTATATTTATGGTTGTTCTAGTTTGTAAAGAGTGAATATATATTCAGCTTAGAGCAAATGACTCTAAAATCTGAATAATTTTTTTAATTTCATCTCTGTGAAAGATAAATCAGTTTTTCGGATTTCTGAGAGAAAAAAAATCAATTCTAGGAATCAAAAACAAAGTTAAGGCCTGAGAATCTATCAGTTATGTTGTTCATGAGTTTCCAAGTCTGTTTTGACTTTACTGTCTTATAACCCTGTTAGTATGAGTTCTCCAAATCAAAATCAGTACACTGAAAACTATTTTAGAAACTAACTTTCCCAGAGTAGGTAAAATACTTTCAAATTAAATTAAGCCAGAATAGATTTCATTTGTTTGTATATAACTGGTTAAATTACTACTTGAACATTTATAGGACGCTAGCCCTCCTTTTTACCTCCCTTTTCAATGTGCAGTTTGCTAGTAATTTTTAGGTTGGTCTCTGGCTGCTTCTGCCTCAGGGTGGCATTGAGGCTACATATTAAATTTTCCACCTACTTCCAATCTTCTAAGCTTTATCTGTGCCACAAGACTTGTAACTATTTTTTACACTAATTATTACTCCAAAAAGTTAATTAAAGAGTTACAACTGAAGGAAAGAACCCAACTGACTGATTGAGAGGAAGTGTTTTTAAAGTGTCTGGAGTACTCTAATAGAATTGAGGAATTCTTATCTTCAGATTTAATTTTATAATTAAATTCCTCTAAGATTCAATCTGTACACTTTCTTTAAAGTGAAAATGTTGGATATGTCCTTTTCCTCAAAGTCATGAATTCTTCACGTGAAAAATCAGTAAGAAATTTTTTGGTGACTTTGTTTTATTGAAATATAAGACCTCCAAAAACATCTTGTTGCCTCTCTGTGCTGTGGAACTCCAGTCTGTAACATGGGAATTATTATTCTTTGTATATCTTCTGAAAAATGTAGCCAAATAAATGAGTAATTTGACTAAGTTGAGATTTTCATTTAGATATTCTACATGCATAAGTCACTTGTACGATTGTCTATAAACAAAATATGAATTGCATTTTAAATCTGGTTCATTTATAGATAAAAATGATAAAATAAAATACTTGTGTTTCTGTAGAGACAGAATATTCTATGTCCAGTAGTATATGGCTTTGTATATGAAATGGAGATTATTATTTCTGGATGAATTTGATCAAAGGGCTTAAGTGAAGGTTTTGCTAACTAGTCATAAATAAAAGAAATTCTCAAATGAAAAGTATATAATTTCAGAGCAATAATATGCATTTAAGTTATAAAATTGACATGTTAATAATAGAAGTCCTAAAATGCAAATTGCCCATTTTAAACTAACCCCCATTTTAAATAAGAGTCCAAGACTTCACCTGTCATCTGAATTAGTACCTAATCTGTGGACTTCATCAGTATTCACATATCTTACTGATTTTTATGATCTGAAGAGTGGTAACATTGACACACCTACCCAGTTACCATACTGACGACCTGTAAGGCACCTTTCTGCCACGTAAAATCCCATATCCTCAAAAGTATCCTATCTTTTGTCAGCTCTGCTTGATTCCTCTGTCCTTCTCTGTACAGTTTGGCTCTTCAGAATAATGTGGGTTGGGCTGCACTGATCGGTCTTCAAAGAAACACATGGGTGAGAGGGAGAAAAGAGAAACCTGTTTTTACATAGGGACAACTTGGTTCTAGATTCCAAGGTAAACCAGGAAGAACTTCTTAGCTCCAACTTTTGTAGACTTGCCAAGTGTCTAGTTTGAACCCCAATATGTTCCTAAATTTCAGTTTTTCCTCAAAGAGCTTTAAAAGTAGATCTTTTAGTTTAAAATGATAGTGATTACTTTTATGTAGTTTTCTTGTATCTTGTTCCTTTCTACCTGCTTCTGTTCTTTCTTAAGAATAGCATTTTTACCCTCTTTAGTCTACTCTTGGCTTTCAAAATACTTTTATTTAATTTTCTATGAAGATCTGTATTTTTCTGAGAAATATTTTGGTTCAAAAGAAAGAGCAATACTGTTAAAGGCTATAATTTAGTAGCTACCATAATATTGACAAAGAAAATGCTTTTCCCTAGTAAGAAAATATTATCCTGTGAAGGACAGTAAGAATATCAATTATGCCTTTTTTTCATATAATATGTGCAGTCAAAATTATTTCCTGATGTTTTTTAAAACTATTTTTACAGTCCCAGTGGGTCTTTGTTATCTTGCTTGGAGCAGGTTAAAACATACCTGCTTACTGATGGAACATGCAAGTGTGGCTTGGAATGTCCTCTTATTCTTCCCAAGGTAACAATTTCACAATAGATCTACAGCAGTTTTTTATTTTTTAGGTACTTTGTATATTTGCTTTTCTCATTTGGCGTTTTATTTTTTATTACTTCTCCAATCATACATTTTAATTCTTTATCTAATTAGACATCTTTTGCATGCATTTTGGAATGCTTAAAAATTATGAAAAATAGTGCATATCCAAGAGTCATTTTCAAAGATGTCAAACCCTATATTCATATTAAATATTTCATTAAAACCACCTTTGCACCGTTTTATTAGAGCTATACCTATGCTTAGCATTTAATAGTGCAATATTTTCTTTCACTTCTGTAACTGCTCAAATCTGCAATGTTATTTTTAGCACTGGTGTTAATAAATCTGTCACAAATATTCCTAAAATCCCAGAGCCGAACCCTCATAGCCAAAATATGAAGCTGTTTTACTCCTTTGCGAGATAAAAAGTAATATCATTTAAAATGGCAAAATATTATTTGCTATAGAAACATGTCATTATTCTCCAAATGTCTGTTATAATGCTAATTTTAAAACAAAAGGTTAATAGACAACTTTTTTCCTTTTTATTTCTAGTCACCACATTCCCAAAAAAGGATTTACATAATAAATAAGATTTTTTAAAAAGTAAATTAATAGATTTTTTAAAATCAGTGAATAATATTAACATACTAATAAAATGATGCCAAAGAAAAAGCATGTGAAAATGTCATAGCTTTTTATTTTTTAACTGTACTTCATCTGTTTTTGTACTGTTATAATATCAGGAAGTATCTGAGAACTTTATCAGATACTATATCTTTTCATATATTAATCTTGGCTATCTTAGAGTTAGGATAATAGTAATTATTTACTTTGCCACTAAAAACCATGAGTCCAGCAGAAGTATTTATTAGTTATATAAAGTTGCTTTCTTAAACTTAAAAACTTGAGAAAGTTTTTTTCAGATTTATGGCTTAATCTGTGCACAACTTTTTTTTAAAATAAAGGGATCTTTTTATTAAATGTTTTTGCAGACATATTCTAAACAAAGGCTGTGCTTTTTCCAGGTGTTTAATTTTGATCCTGGAGCTGCTGTGAAACAGAGAACTGCAGAAGATGTTAAGGCAGATGAAGATGTCACAAAGCTATGCATACATAAAAGAAAAATCATTGCAGTGGCCACACTTCATAAAAGCATGGAAGCCCCACATCCTTCTCTGGTGCTCACCAGTCCCGGAGGAGGAACAAGTATGTAATATGGTGAAGGGTTTAGGAATTCTCCTTCTCAAGAAGGAATTGCTGGAAATCACTTTGCCAAGCATTTTCCCATTCTACTTTTCAAGCAAGCAAATGCTTTTAAAATTCCGTATGTCCTATCATGTTATTACAAATAGCAAATTAGTTCTGAAAAATTACCATGAGGTTATTTCCCTCATTTCTTACCCAAATCATTTAGTTAAATAATCAGAATAAACACTGATTAGTACATACAAATGCTCTACAGGTGTGTAGAGCTGAGCTAAGGAAAGAAAAAGTGCCCTTGGTTTTTAGGAAAGAAATGTAGCCTTTTTCCCAGGGCTGAATTGGAATGTGTGGTATCAAGTCCCCAAAAGCAACCTACCAGTATTGTTAGACGTCAGCGGTATTATTTTTTCAGTTACTTAATATCTCTTTATTGGACATGTCCTAAACAGAAGTCATCTTACTGGAAAGTTTTTTTATACTGCCCCCTCAACACACACACACACACACACACACTTTTTAAAAATATTTCAAAGCTGCAGAAAAATTACAAGACTAGTTCATTGAGTACTCTTCACCTAGATTCACCAATTAACATTGTATTGCAGAAGTCGCAAATATTGTGACAATTAACCCCTAAATATTTCAGCACACAAGGACATTCTCCTATATAACAACAACCTAATTATCACATTCAGGAAATATAACACTGATACAATGTTATTGTCTAATATGCAGTCTATATTGAAATTTGTCCAATTGTCTTAATAATGTCTCATAGCTTTTTTAAAAAAAAATTCAGTCTATTCTTCAAATCCAGAATGCGATCAAATATTGTACACTGCATTTAGTTGCTAAATTTCTTTAATCTATATTAATTCCCGAGGCTTTTTCAATCTTTCATGACATTGAAATTTTTGAAGAGTCCAGGCTGTCTTTGCAGGATGTTCCTCAATTTGGATACGCCTGATTGCTTCCTCATATTTATGCTCAGGCTAAACACATTTTGGTAGGAATACTGCATTGATAATGTTAGGTCCTCACCAGGAGGCACATAATGGCAGGTTATCCCATACTGATGACATTAAGTTTGATTGCTTAGTTAAGATTGTGTCCATCAATTTTTCCATTGTTAAGGTACCATTTTCCCTTTATGACTAATGTGTACTCTGTGGAATTATACTTTTATAATGAGAAACTTCTTTTGTAAGGGCTAGAGTATGAATTCCCTCCAAAATATTATAATCTACTTAACACTTGAATAATAACTCAGAATAAACTATGGCTAAACAACAAAGCATCTTTTTATGAAGGATAAGTGATATTGTTCTGCAGAATTCTGAATAGAGATGATGAATGTAACCTATAGTGATCAAAGAGGCTTCATGGCAGAACTCAGATTTGGACCCACCTTGGAAAATAATAGGATTTAGACATACGAAGGGAATAGAAAAATCTCCTGAATGAGTGTAGTATAATTAAGGAATGATGTGGAAAGTGACTTGAGTGGAAGATTAGAAATGTATAGATAAATTGAGACCAAATTATTGAACAGCTTGGATACAAAGAACAGTTGAACAGTTGCCACATCACACAGGTAATTAAAGATTTGCACTTATAACTCATGTGAAGAAGCAGGGAGAGACAAATTTGGTGATTATTAGCATAGAGCTCCTTTCCAATAACCATCTAACCTTTAAACTTTAACAGGAATAATCAGAAAAAATTTGCTCCACTAAGGTATGTAAGAAAAAAAATCTTTTAGGGAACTTTTCTTTTTCTTTTAATAGGCTACATTTTTTAAATTGAAAGATATTGCAATAATTTAAAGACATATTTACTAGTCATAAATTACTTAAAATTTACCTTTATCCTGCCAGCTTGATGTAACTGTTTTCATTTTTGCATATTACCTTGCACGTGTGTTTGCACATACTCATATTTGTGGCTGTTTTCATATCACATTATATCAAATGGTTTTATCTATTTCTACAGAGTCTACCATATTGCCTTTCTAAAGACCCTAGCAAAATCTAGATCTAGGTCCTTTGTCATACCTATACATACAAGTTTAATTATTGAAATTAAAGGTAAATATTTAACTAGTACATCTCCACCCTCTTTTAAAATGGTACACTTTATTTGATTAATTATTTTTACTGGTTTCAGAAATAGCATTTATTTTAGTTTCTTAATTTTAAACTGTGTTATCATAAGATTGAGAGTTAAATAATTAAAAGTTCAGAAGACTCACATAGTAGTTTTCCTCTCTCTGAAATACATGAACATTTATTTTGTCTATGTTTATTCTTTTGAAAGGTCTACTTGAATATACATTAAAGTACTTTTTTTTTTTGTAGAGACAGGGTCTTGCTTTGTTCCTCAGGCTGGTGTTGAACTCCTGGCCTCAAGCAATCCTCCTGCCTGGGCCTCCAAAAGCACTGGGATTACAGGCATGAGCCACCATGCCGTGCCCATGAAAGCACTTTGATGGGTGCCTAGCATTTACACTTGCCAACTCTCGTATACTTTAGTTGTAACTGTAACATAATATCAACCTGACTTTTGTTTGTTTATTTAGTATTTCTATTATTTTAAAGATGGTAACTATTTTTCCCCAGGTATGGAAGAAATCCTTTCTAAACCACAGCTACTGTCTAAATTCTGTTAGTTGAATATAAAAATACCAATGCCTATATTTTTAATCACTGAAATCTTTCCTTAACAAGAAAACAAACTTCAGTTGAGTTTATCTGCTGCAATTCTCTTATATCATTGGTTCTCAACGTTTCATATATTATATCCAGAAATCACTCTATCAAAGAACCTCCACCATGATAGAATCAGAAAGTCCAAAAAAACAAATATTCACTTTATTCTCTAACTACTTGAATGCACCCTATGTAGACTTTTGTGTACTCCAGGTTGAGAACTATCTTGGAAATTATGATGATATGATTTGACCTGTATACTCTCTAGCAGATAGGAGAAATATATTTATCTTAAATGTGTAATTATCTATTTAAGTAAGTATACCTCTGATTGCAAATGAATGTAACTATACTTGCTAATACATTGTAAGTCTCAAAATAGGTATGGCAAATATATAGCATGAAAGATGCCACTCTCATCTCTTGTGCATGTAATAGACTCATTGGTAATTTCTCATGGAGCCCAGCTAGAGTTTAGCATCCTTTTCAACACAACTCTCTAAGCAGCCACCACCAATTGATAGGAATTGGCATACGAAATAAATTTTACTTGCCATCTCTGTTTTAGAGGGTACAACTTTATAAAATAGTTAAACATCCCTTGGGGCTAGAAAACTTAAACTAGAATTCTGACACGATAGAATGAAAATTCTGTATGATGAGCCAGCTTTCTTTTGTTGCCTCTATTCTGTCTGATCTCCAAAAGAACTGAAGGGATTCCAAAAATCCAGAGAGAGAAATGCACTCATGTAAAAAGAGAATGAAGTTGGAATACAGTACCAAAGTTTTAGCACTCCAACAAAATTTTACATGAGAATTCTATTCTAATAAAAGAATTCCAATCTTTTTCCTAAGTTGACTAAGGCTTTTTTTTAACAATAATGGCTAATTAAGGGCAAAGAAATTACAGTGTTGCCGATATGATGTGAGGCTAAGCATGATCACTGCATTTATTCTTGGTGTTATTCCAATTATAAAAGATTTGGAATCTCCTTCATTTAATTCACAGAAATTAATATTCTGACTCTTGCAGTGAAAATGTTGAGATAAGGAAATATTACTATAGCTGTTCTGAGAAGGTTTCAGTAAGGTTACAGAAACAGTTATAGTGTACAAATTTTCTGGTGGAAATAACAATTCATTTAAATTACCCAAGAAAATACTATGCCACACAGATTACAATTTTCTATTGTAACTGCGTTCTTAAAATTTTCAAATCCAACAAGATAGTAACATCACCATTTCTATCTGGGCTGCCAATCTTGATTTTGCATATTCTAAATATTACTAGAATGGCTAATGTCATTATGTACTGATTTAGATGCCCATGCTTTCTCAATAGATAAGAAGTAAACAAGCATAATGAGTAGTCACTGAGAACCACTGATCAACTAAAGAAGAATAATGTACATTTTTTAAATCAAAATTTAATATAGCCTGTAGAACATTTTTTTAATTACATAGAATCACAGCTTTTATTTTCTAATTTGTTTCCAGATGCCCTTCCTCTCTTTCCCTTCCTGATTTCCTCCTTTCCTTTCCTCCCTCCCAACACAAAATAATTGAAACTATTAACAGAATTCTTTTTTTTCTCTTTCACATCAGATGCAACTCCAGTAGTACCTTCAAGGGCAGCAACTCCAAGATCCATAAGAAATAAGTCTCATGAAGGAATTACAAATTCTGTAATGCCTGAATGTAAGAATCCTTTCAAGTTAATGATTGGATCATCAAATGCCATGGGAAGGCTATGTGTACAAGAACTGCCTGGAAGCCAACAGCAAGAACTCCACCCTGTCTACCCGCGACAGAGATTGGGCAGCAGTGAACACGGACAGAAGTCTCCATTCCGTGGCAGCCATGGAGGCCTTCCCAGCCCAGCGTCATCAGGTTCCCAGATATATGGAGATGGCTCAATCTCTCCAAGGACTGACCCACTTGGAAGTCCTGATGTTTTCACAAGAAATAATCCTGGTTTTCATGGAGCTCCCAATTCTAGTCCTATTCACCTGAATAGGACTCCTCTTTCTCCACCTTCAGTAATGCTACATGGTTCTCCTGTACAGTCATCCTGTGCAATGGCTGGAAGGACTAATATACCTCTTTCCCCAACCTTGACTACAAAGAGTCCAGTAATGAAAAAACCAATGTGTAATTTTTCAACTAACATGGAAATACCACGAGCAATGTTCCACCACAAACCACCCCAAGGCCCACCTCCCCCTCCTCCACCTTCTTGTGCTCTTCAGAAAAAGCCATTAACATCTGAGAAAGATCCACTTGGCATTCTTGACCCTATTCCTAGTAAACCAGTGAATCAGAACCCTGTTATCATTAATCCAACCAGTTTCCATTCAAATGTCCACTCTCAGGTACCTGTGATGAATGTAAGCATGCCTCCTGCTGTTGTTCCTTTGCCAAGTAATCTCCCTTTGCCAACCGTAAAACCTGGTCACATGAATCATGGGAGTCATGTACAAAGAGTACAGCATTCAGCTTCAACCTCCCTGTCCCCTTCTCCAGTGACATCCCCAGTGCACATGATGGGGACTGGAATTGGAAGGATTGAGGCATCGCCCCAAAGATCACGCTCATCTTCCACATCATCAGATCATGGAAACTTTATGATGCCACCTGTAGGACCCCAGGCCACTTGTAGTGGTATTAAGGTTCCACCCAGGTCACCAAGGTCAACAATAGGGTCCCCAAGGCCATCAGTGCCATCAAGCCCTTCTACCAAGTCCGATGGACATCATCAATACAAGGATATCCCTAACCCATTAATTGCTGGAATGAGTAATGTACTAAATACCCCAAGCAGTGCAGCTTTTCCTACTGCATCTGCTGGAAGTGGTTCTGTAAAGAGTCAGCCTGGTTTGCTGGGAATGCCTTTAAATCAGATCTTGAACCAGCACAATGCTGCCTCCTTTCCAGCAAGTAGTTTACTCTCAGCAGCAGCCAAAGCACAGCTAGCAAATCAAAACAAACTTGCTGGTAACAACAGTAGCAGCAGTAGCAATTCTGGAGCTGTTGCCGGCAGTGGCAACACTGAAGGACATAGCACTTTAAACACCATGTTCCCTCCTACTGCCAACATGCTTCTCCCATCAGGTGAAGGGCAAAGTGGTCGAGCAGCACTAAGAGATAAGCTGATGTCTCAGCAAAAAGACTCATTGCGGAAAAGAAAACAGCCACCTACCACAGTGTTGAGTTTGCTCAGACAGTCTCAAATGGATAGTTCTGCAGTTCCTAAACCTGGACCCGACTTGCTAAGGAAGCAGGGTCAGGGTTCATTTCCCATCAGTTCAATGTCTCAGTTACTACAATCTATGAGTTGTCAAAGCTCTCACTTGAGTAGCAATAGTACCCCGGGTTGCGGGGGCTCAAATACTGCTTTGCCTTGCTCTGCTAACCAGCTGCATTTTACAGATCCCAATATGAACTCCAGTGTTCTTCAGAATTCACTGACACAGAACATACCTTTAAGAGGGGAAGCCATGCACTGCCATAATGCAAACACTAACTTTGTTCACAGTAACAGTCCAGTCCCCAACCACCATCTTGCAGGTTTAATAAATCAGATTCAGGCTAGCGGGAACTGTGGGATGCTCAGTCAGTCGGGCATGGCTTTAGGAAATTCATTACATCCCAATCCACCTCAGTCAAGAATTTCAACGTCCTCCACTCCAGTGATACCAAACAGCATTGTTAGCAGCTATAATCAAACAAGTTCTGAAGCAGGTATGGTTTTATTAGAAAAAAGTACCCAAAGGTACTAAACTTTTCTACTTTTTTAAAAATTTGTACCAAAATATTTATTATGATAAGAAATGATCTTTTCCCCATTGTGAAATTCTCTTCATTTCTTTAGTATTTATAATTTTATTTACAGAATGCTAGAGATTTGTCTGTTGGAAAGAATAACAGCTAAGAGGATTCCATATGTTTCCGTTATTTGTTGTCAATCTGTCATTTTGAATATTGTTCGACATTCAGTTGGTTGTATAACCGTTGGACTCTAAACTGCAAAAGAAGCCATAGAAGGCAGGGTTTCCTGGTTCATGAGACATGTCCTTGGCCTATGCCAGTATAAAAGCCGTTTCCTTAGCTTTTGTTTGTATTCAGGTAAATGAAGTTCATCTTGGAAAACCCAAAAAGGCAAAAATAAATGGATATTTTTTTTCTTGCTGCTGAACAGAAATAGATGAATGAATAGGAAAAGGTAACTAGAAGTTGTACAAAGTAGAAAGCTGTCTTCTAATGTGTTTTCCTATCCTAGTTTTCTATCCTTTATTATTATTTGTTTGAGAAAATTCAAAAATGGATATTGGCTACTCCCTTTTTTTTAAAAAAAGTAATAATTTAATTTTTCTAATAAAAAAAAGGCTTGAAAATCTGATTTCCAGAATTTTTAATCTTGAAATTGTTTTACGATTTTCTTGGAGAACTAAACCCTTTTTACCATTGACAGTAGGTTTTGAACCCAAATTTATTGTATGTCTTCATCCACTATTAATGAAGGAGACAGATTAATTTAAAAGTAGATGTATTGGAAAAAGACCTAAGTTTTGTGCAATAGAGTCCTCAGAAATTGTTATAAAAACTGTACAGAAGCACTTAAGACATGTGTACATTAAGACATCCAAAAGTTTGACCATGAAACTTTAGAAAAAATACTCAAAACCCAACACTAATGATTTGTGGGAAACGACAGGGAGGAAATGAAAGACAATTGTAAAAATATTATTCAGATATGAAAACGGCATGCTTTAAAAACCAGATTGCTACTGGAAATGAGAAAACTGCTGAGGCTTTTAATAATAAGCTAGTGTGTAGATATGTATAGACTGTACAATACCACCATGCTGGAAAAGCATTATAACCTACATATCTTTGTTGTTGATGGTCAAAATCAAGCATTTTCTTCCTGGTGTTGCCACTTACACCTGCCATCCTTCATATCTTGTGTTATGTGTTATGTTTTGATGTCAGTATTTAATGAAGAACTGTTCAATGACCTCTTGTGTTAAAAGAATATAAGGTTTAGAAGATATTTGAAATGACTAGTGCCTTCCTAATATTCTTAGTTTAAAGAAGTTCATGAAACTTTATTTTTTATGTGTTTTCCAGGAAACTTTTCCCATAAAGGTCTTCCAACTTTTCACTGACTCATATTCCTTTTTTAGATAATTCCACACAAATGAAAATTTAATCTTATGCATTTAGCTGATTAAATGTATACAAAGTTTATAACTATTTAAAAATATACCATATTTATTGAGCATACCTTCAATCATTTTGATGAGACATTGTTAGCCTCATTGTGTTATATAATTTTGATATCCCTTACCTCGATTTACTTCATTTCAGGTCTAAGTTCGTATGTGCAAAATGTATGTATTTTATTGATGTATTTCAATTTATCTATAATGGAAAAGACCAACATTTATTTATATTTTTGTTTCTTCTGATGGTCAAGTTTAGACTTATTTCATATAGTCTTGGTCATTTATTTTCTTGTTTCGTGTGTCTCTGTAAAACACCTGACCTGTATTGCTACTGTTGGGGGTGTCAAAGCACACAGGTTAAGAATTTGTTAATATAAGAAAAGTATAAGCATATAAATAGCTAAAAGGGACAAGAATAAATGTCCAGTAATAATATGGGTGTGACCAATCAGTGTAAGCTAACAGGAAGCATATGCTTAATGAAAATCTAAGTAAGAATTTTAAAAATATTAAACCTAATAAAATTAAATACTAATTAATGTGCATAGGTCTGATGTGCAGCTGGCTATGAAAACGGGTTGATTTACTAATTAATGTAACTTTTTTGATGAGCTAAATATTGAAGCAGTTTCTAATTCCATGTTTCTTTTTGCTATATACTGAACTGTGTCAACTGAATGTACTGTCACTGTAATTGCCTAGCCTACGTATCTATTTACACTGACATTTATTCATTCATCAAATAATCGTTGACTGCCAAGGCTGGGCATTCAGAACGATACAGCAGGTAACAGTCACAGCTATCCCTGTAAGAGTATTGCCAGTTATTCCTATCACACCAGTAAGATATTAGAAGAAAAATGCATTTTATTCTTAAAATGTTTATAGCTATCGTCAAGTACCTATTACGTGCCAGGTGATTTACCTATATTATTTCTAATATGTACAGTTTTTGAAAGTGTAAAATATTATTGTCCCATTTTACAATCACTCAGTCAGAGAACTTATATAACTGTCCAGGATCCTACATAACTGAATCAGGATTTGAACTCAGGTTCCTCTAATTCTAAAATCCATTTTCTTCCCAGCTGCGTAAGTTCTTCATCTGAAACATTTAGTGGTCAAAAATACTGTTTTCTCTTTCAAAATCTTTTAAAATGTTCAAAAGGTAATGAATTAAAGCACATTAATGCATGTTAGAAGTCACATTTGTAAATGTTTGGTATACTTTTAGACAAAAGTCAGTTTTGCCTTCTTTCTTTAGACTCTGACATCGCAGCATACAATGATTAGAATATTTGTGTCGATGCAGATGAAATATCAAAAATATCAAGAGAACTGCCCCTTATTGGTGAGACACATTTGGTGGCCTTTCTTTTAATGAATTATCACCTCAGTTACTCAGATAAGAATGGGTTTCCTAGTGGATGACATGTCAACAGACCCTTGAAAGAGGCAGTTGCGCAGGTGCTAGTCATGCCATTCCAAGCGTGATAGTGTGGTGAGGGCAAAAGAGACCAACAGGTAACGTGGTCCAGCTCTACTCTGTGGTAACAGAGCCTTGCCACAACTCAGGTGACTGCCTACTCAATCCAGTGCCTTTTTCCAGTCTCCTAAGCAGAAGTTTTAAAATACTACTTTAAGACATCAATGAAGACAAGAAATAACTTTCTCTAAAAATGCTTAATTCAACTGATAATTTTTCAAGTTTTTTTTAAAGAGTTTTTTTTCTATTTAAAACAATCCAAATATTGATTTTTAGGCTATTTGTGAATTCTGTGAAACACATTTAAAACACACTACAACTCAAGTATGGGAATTGGAGGCAAAGAAAATCAGATAAAAGTTGTGAAATACTTAGAAAACATTTCTAAAACTTAAGAATATACAGGCTTTATTAATTCTATTCGGTGTTTTCAAATTGCCTTTCCACTAAATCGTCTGAATACTTTGCTTTGTAAAGTTTACAGGTTTCTACTGGGTTTTTGAATATGAAATTACAAGTAAAGTTTAATATTCACATGTAACAGATTTACATGATTTAGAAACTGACCAGTAGGATACTTGATGGCATTCCTCAAGTTGTAAAGTAAATCTCTGGCAGACCTGGCAACCAAACCCCAAAGTTCCTGATTCTCAATCCAAACACTCAAACTGCTAAACGTAGGTATGTTCTGGAAATCCATCAGTAGTGTACATTTAAAGCAACTTTTGGGGTTTTGTTTTTTTGATTGGGGGGGTTGTTTGTTTGTTTTTGTTAGAGACAGAGTCTCACTCTTTTGCCCAGGCGAGAGTTCAGTGGCATCATCATAGCTCACTGCAACCCGGAACTCCTGAGTTCAAGCAATCTTCCCACCTCAGCCTCGTGAATAGCTGGAACTACATACACATGCCACTGCGCCCAGCTAATTTTTTAATTTTTTGTAGAGACAGGGTGTCACTATGTTGCCCGGGTTGATCTTAGACTCCTGGGCTCAAGCAATCCTCCCGTCTTGGCCTCCCAAAGTGCAGTTTTTAAAGAGAGATAAATTTCAACATGTAAGTGGTTCCAGCACATGTCTTGTAGTGTTCTGGTTTAGGGAGGAATCCAAAATTAAGTGCCCTTGACTAGCACACTTCAAAGACCTACGCTTCCTCGGGCCTCTGACTACTGCACCGCTGTGTACAGATATCAAAAACACATATGCCAGTAACCTGGGCCTCTGCAGAGGGCCGAGTCCTGTCAGTATCCACACAACAATCCAGCCTTTCCGTAGCCCTGTGGTTTTTTACAATTTTCGAAGAAGAAAAAAGATTTAAATTATTCTGTTAACATATTATTACAACCCTACCTTCTTCCAATATGACAAAGTCATTAAATATAACATAACTTTTTCAGTTTAAAATCATTTTTATATTCTCTTATTTTTAAAAATAAAAAACATTTAATCTACTCTTCTAAACACATGAAAATATTATCATCTGAGGGGCAGAGTATGAGTTTGTGCCAGTTTCAAACATTTTTTGCCTTAACTCTTAAAGATATACATAACAAGAATATAAATAAACCTACAAATAGATGCTCATGGGTATTTTTATATACATATATTTTTTTAAACTTTGCAAAAGAAAGTTTTCTTTCAGCACAAAATACACTTGATTGAAACTCAGGACAGCCATTGACATGGTAGGTGTAAGACAATGAAATAGTGAAGCCACAAAAGAACACTTTGGGTAAAAGACTAAGAGTTATGAGTTTGGGTTTTTGTTCTGTGTGTTCATTTATTCTCAGAACATCCAGTAAAGAAAATAAAGGGAGTTGTCATCTCTACATTGTCTGGAAAAGGCTACAGGGGTAGAAAGATCGGAGGATGAAAATACTCAAGGGTGGATTGTACTGTGTATGTTAGCCCTCTCAGGATATGGGAGGGTTGTGTGGAAATAGTCTTCTAGAGTTATATAGACTAATGTAGACTGAAGAGGCAGCGGTTTGTTGAAGGTTGTGACTGAATAAATAAGAGTTGCTATTGAAAA